TCTCTCTCTCTCTCTCTCTCTCTCTCTCTCTCTCTCTCTCTCTCTCTCTCTCTCTCTCTCTCTCTCTCTCTCTCTCTCTCTCTCTCTCTCTCTCTCTCTCTCTCTCTCTCTCTCTCTCTCTCTCTCTCTCTCTCTCTCTCTCTCTCTCTCTCTCTCTCTCTCTCTCTCTCTCTCTCTCTCTCTCTCTCTCTCTCTCTCTCTCTCTCTCTCTCTCTCTCTCTCTCTCTCTCTCTCTCTCTCTCTCTCTCTCTCTCTCTCTCTCTCTCTCTCTCTCTCTCTCTCTCTCTCTCTCTCTCTCTCTCTCTCTCTCTCTCTCTCTCTCTCTCTCTCTCTCTCTCTCTCTCTCTCTCTCTCTCTCTCTCTCTCTCTCTCTCTCTCTCTCTCTCTCTCTCTCTCTCTCTCTCTCTCTCTCTCTCTCTCTCTCTCTCTCTCTCTCTCTCTCTCTCTCTCTCTCTCTCTCTCTCTCTCTCTCTCTCTCTCTCTCTCTCTCTCTCTCTCTCTCTCTCTCTCTCTCTCTCTCTCTCTCTCTCTCTCTCTCTCTCTCTCTCTCTCTCTCTCTCTCTCTCTCTCTCTCTCTCTCTCTCTCTCTCTCTCTCTCTCTCTCTCTCTCTCTCTCTCTCTCTCTCTCTCTCTCTCTCTCTCTCTCTCTCTCTCTCTCTCTCTCTCTCTCTCTCTCTCTCTCTCTCTCTCTCTCTCTCTCTCTCTCTCTCTCTCTCTCTCTCTCTCTCTCTCTCTCTCTCTCTCTCTCTCTCTCTCTCTCTCTCTCTCTCTCTCTCTCTCTCTCTCTCTCTCTCTCTCTCTCTCTCTCTCTCTCTCTCTCTCTCTCTCTCTCTCTCTCTCTCTCTCTCTCTCTCTCTCTCTCTCTCTCTCTCTCTCTCTCTCTCTCTCTCTCTCTCTCTCTCTCTCTCTCTCTCTCTCTCTCTCTCTCTCTCTCTCTCTCTCTCTCTCTCTCCTCTCTTTAAAAAAAAAGTATCTGTCCCCGTGAGTCCTGTTGCCGCGCCGATATGAAACTGCTCTTGTTCTTTCAGAATCGGAAATGCTGCACAAAATGGGCAAGTCGGCGCTGCCGAAGCCGGAGCGTGTACACCACGTGCTCGAGGACTTCCTGACGGTGTGGACGGCGCAGCAGAGCCATATCCTGCCTCTGCGTCGTTTCCTTGAGTATGTCACCGGCAGAGACCTTCGTCATCACAATGCACACGCGTGTCTTTCCCATTCCTTCACCAACGGCCGCCCACCGCCTCTGTGTCCCTACGGGGGCAGCGTGGGGGGTTGGGCCATCCATCCTGTCGCGCCCACGCCCACAGGCCAGCCCCAGGGCGTCACCAGGCCAGCGCGCCCCGCCAACTACACGCTGTGGAGCCGGCCCTCGGTGCGCGCCACGCCGCCCGCGCCGCTCGCCACCGCTGCCACGTCGTGAGCGCCGGGCCTCCTGCCGAGCCCGGCCCCTCCGGTACCTCACGTTGCATGTACATACAAATAAACTCAGTGAGTTCAGCATTCTCGATAACTAACGAACTGGCAAAGGCGACTTTCAATGGACTCCAAAGTATCTCTGATTTTTCTCAGAGCAGATTCACACAAACGCATCAGTCTATGCTAACGCATACAGTCACATGTGCATGGGTATTTGTATACAATGTACGACAAAAGCCATCGATTATAAGAATAAGCAGAAAAAAATTTTCGGTGACCTGTAACCTTCAGGAAAATGGCCAGAGGCTGTCACGAAAGCCTCCGAATCATGCATCGTTTCTCATAGAAAGCAGACTTACGAATCTGAAATTAGGGAAGTAGATGCCTTACTTACCTCTAGTTCTCTTTCCTGACGACTGACGCTAATGCACGGATGTTATAATCTGTTATGAGAGTTTTCCAATCGTTACATTTTGTTTTGTCTTCCAGACATCATTTGTAATACGTCGTGTAATATTTACAGAATACGTTACACAATAATAGCCTTTCATTTTACTACTGAAAAAGACACTGCCTGATAGCAAATAATATTTCAGAAATCGATGGGAAAGAATTATAATGGAATATATAAAATGCATTTCCTGTGCTTTTGAAAGAGACAAGGTCCATGTGTACATGTGTACAAATATGTTAAATTCAGGCTAAATTTCACCACAGACACAAAGGCTACACAGTACATTGTATCTTAAAATCAAACATGTGTATGTGTTTCCCGTTGTAGGATAGTATTCGAAACAGAATTCCGTTCTTTTTTATTCTGCAGGCCGTTAAGGTGTCTATCTGTATTTCGCTTCTGTGTTCAAGCGTTATAATATGCCTTCCTCTGCGGATATCTGCTGATGGTAAATGTTTTCCTGTTTTCCAGAAAATATGTGAACACGCACGCAAACACAAACAAACATAGATACACACATCTCACACATACACCTGTATGTTCACGCACGCATACACACTCGCACACACAAACGCGCAGACGCATATATGTACACACCATTAAATTTGCCTTGATTTATCTCCCTTCACACTTAGGACTTTAAATGGGATATCAGGAGAAAAAAAATATCGTTGCCCCTTACATAAACTTATATGAAAAATCGACGAAGTATTGTGGAATAACGAAGCAAGCCAGTGGGCACTGTAATCCTACGAATGTAGGTTTTGCGATACAGTAACATAATTATGCACTTGTTGAGTCATTAAAAGTTATTAAAACGTATGTTTGATTACTTGTATGCGAAATAAAAAGTAATATAATAATAACGAGGGGCAACAAATGTGCAGTCCAAAAAAGGCGCGAAAAAGTAAGGAACATCGCAGTTAATATTAGAGTGTGGCAAATAAAAGGAAAATAACATGGGTTTATAATTTGAATTCCCTCCCTGCCGCTTAACTGCCTCTAAACGTCGTGGCGCGATCTCGCCATCGCTTACTCCGTCGTTATGAGCGACGATAGTTCCTCGCAGACCGTGATGTCTCTATGGTGCACGAGTGCAGATGCCATTGCCAATCCATATTAATTCAGAAGCATCCATGTGAAGCGTCTGCCAATCCATCTGAAGCATTTATATCCCGATCTTTACAAACTTGCTCCCGACTAATGCAAATCACGGACATCAGAGGTCATGCAGTACTATATGTCGCTTTATATAATACCGGTGTATGCTGATAATAGTTTGATCATT